TGGCCTATGCTTGCTAGGCAAGCACACCGAGTCATGCCTTAGTCCTTGGGGTTTTTTTTTTTTTTTGGTATGCTTTTTAGGCTGAACTAGAACTTATTATCCTCTTGCTTCAGCCTTCCAAATATTGAGATTGTAGGTATGACCTTTAAAAATTGTTTTCCCAACATTTTGTTTTGAACATTTTATACTGACCCAGAGTTGTAAAAATACAAGCAGTGGAGGTCTGTTTCTGTATGAGCCACAAACTGAGAGTGGTGTCTACATTTTCATTTGTTTTGTTTTTGTTTTTGTTTTTTTTTAAGACAGGGTTTCTCTGTGTAGCTTTGGCTGTCCTGGACCTCACTCTGTAGACCAGGCTGGCCTCGAACTTGCTGAGGTCCACCTGCCTGTGCAGTGCTGATATTAAAGGTGTGCACCACTACCCCCACCTTAAAGATTTTTAATTTTCTGTGTAATAGTGTCTAGCTGAACTTACAGGCTGGTGTGAGTCACCTTGTGGCCTGGGAACCAAACAGGATCCTCTGAAAGAAGCAAGCGCTTGCAACCTCTGAGCCATTTCTCCACCCTCCAGCTTCCACATTTTTTAAAGTGTTAGGACGAAAATACAAAAGAAGGAAGAATGTTTCATAACACTTTAAAATGATAGGAAATTCGCATATTAGTGTCCATATCATTTACCTTTTGCTTCCATGTTCCTCACTGCTGCTTTCTCTCTGCAGCGGTGGTCCCAGAGACCCCCTCGCTAAGCCCCAAATATTTATTGTTTGAACTTTTTTTTTACAGAAAGTTTGCTAGCCCTTGACTTAGATTTGCAAATAATTAGATGTCTTTTGTGTGGTTCTGGAATGGAAAACGTTACAGGGCCAAGACTTTCTTCAGCTCTTTAAGGGTTAAGATTTTCTGCTGCTTCCACCCCTAAGTATGTTAGTGGTTTCCTTACCATTTTTTTTTTCTGGGATGGAACCCAGGACCATTGGGGGCAGGTCCTCTGTCCCTGGGCTACATCCCAGACCCTCTGCCTCTTGAGCCAGTCACAGGAAATGAGCAGGCTTAGAGAGGGGAGGGCTGAGATAATGAAGTGTTAGATGCACTGTGCTTGGTGGGTAAACAGAACTGGATAAACGTGCAATGAAAATTCCAGGCATTTTTGCACACAGGGTTGAAAATAAACAAACAAACAAACTAGCCCGGGCCTGCTTAAACCCCCAAGGCTTCCCTCACTCCCTCATTCCTGGAGTCTGGAAACCAGCTTTTCCCAGAAAGGATGGTTAGCCAAGGAAGTAGAAAGGGCCTCCAGGAAACTTCATTTTTTCCATAGCTTGTGGCTTGGTTGACTCAACTTCTGCCTTTCCCTGAGTCACGAGAGTTTGTCCTCTTCCTTGGAGGAGGGAGGGAGGCTCCCCACCCACAGCCAGGCCCCTCTGGGAAGGGGTGGGTGGCTGATCAGTTTATATAGCTGTAGGGGATTTCCCAGCCTTCAGCTGCATGGGATGCTGGGACAGAGGGAGAGAGTTGAGACCGAGTTCTCAGTGGGCCCTGAATCACCAGATATTTTGTTGGATGCTGAGATGCCATCATAAATCAACAAGACTGCTCTGCCCTCAGAGGAAACCATTCTCATCCTAGCTACCTCCTTATCTCCGTCCACCCTTGCTAAGGAGGTGAGGGAGGAAGATTAGAGGATTGAGGCAGCCATGAACCATGTCCCTGAAGACTCGGCTTAAAAACCCCTCCACACAGCATTGTGTGCCCTCTCAGTATCCTACCTGAGCTGGGGGGACTGGAATACTGCCTCTTTGTAAAGCAGACTCCTCACTTGCGCCCACAGGGGACATGAAAGGATGAGAGCCCACCATGGCTGCCTGCATTTCTTTATCCATCAGTCCACCTGCTTACCCCACTTGTAGGCATGTCACCCGCTAAAGGCCTGCCGGTCTGAAGACAAGGGGGATCTAACTGCTTTCATGGCATTCACACAGGAAGCATCTTGCCTTCAGCTTTTACAATGTCCTGTTCCAAAAACCCCAAATGCACAGGGGCTCTGTAGTCACTGTCCCAAGTTAGTGAATTTTGGGACTAGTAAAGCCTCCTGGTGGATCACCCCCCCAACCCCAGTCACCTTCAGACAATGGTCTCTGCCTATCCTCTCACCCCCTACCTGTAATGGTCTGCTCTGTCCCTTTAAGAGACAAGCCATGCCCACTCTCTCCCCTCTCTGCAGAGGCAAGCTGCTCTTCAGCTTCCAGCCTGAGTTTCTTCCTTTTCTCTAGATCCTCTCAAAGAGGCAGCCTCTGTCTCACCCCACTTCCCCACCTCCCCCTTCCTCCTTTCTGTATCTCTCTTTCTCTCTCTCTCTTTCCTCTTCTCCCTTCTCCCCTTCCCTTTCATAACCCACTAAATAAATATCCAACCTCACTCTGCATGGCGTGCCTATACATACCTCTGTCTCTTGCCTGCCTCATGGCTCCCTGCTCGGGACCACAGAGGCCCGCGGCATGGTCTCATGGCGTGCCCATCCATCCACAGCATTTTACTTAACCCATTACACTACCCAAATTCATCATCTATTTAAACCTGAAGCTTGTGTCAGTGCTCCTAAGATAGACTTCATAGAACCCCTTTAACTGTGAATGAAAACATGAAATGAGGACGTGACCCTCCTAGATATGATGGAGGAGAAGGTTTACTGTGGCTACAAGGAAGAGCATGGGCAGAGTCATCTGGAAAGTCCACAGTGAAATGGTTGGCACACTGAACAGGGCCATGTGGGAAGAAGGACCAGGGGAGAGGTAAGAGCCAGAAGTCAAAAACGTCAGGAGAGCAGGGGCCAAGAGCAGTGCCCAAGAGACAGCAGGGAAGCCCAGCCCAGTGATGAGGCTGGAGAATTTAAGGTAGCAGGTGAGGTATGTAAGCCAGGATGGTTCTGTAAGGATCCTAAGAGATGCTGGAGAACCTGGCAGCCAGCGTCTGCTTTGCTATGTCAAACAGGTGCCTCAGGTAACCATTCCTCCAGGCTTTGAGACCTGACAATCTGTTCTTCCTGTCTCCTCTCCTCTGCCTTTGGCCCATCACTGGAGAACGGAGATGGGTGGAGACTCAGTCAGGCTTCTAGCCTGTGGGACTTCAGACCCTGTCTTTGCCCTCTGGCCAGTGAAGAGTTTGGCTACACCACCAACCAAAGATCCAGCTGGGATATATCCATGGGTCGGGGAGACCTGGAGTGAAACCATAGAGTGGTGCGCTCCATGGTGGATGAAAGAACACAAACCTTAACTAAATGGGACAGTGTGCTGTGGAGAAGTAGACCAGTGTTTTCATGACTGACTGACTGAGACGAGGACTCATTATGTAGCCCAGGCTGACCTCTAACTCAATCCTCCTGCCTCAGCCTCCTGAGTGCTGAGATCACAGGCATGTGCCACTTAGGCCCCCAAATTTTAGATAAGCTAAAAATCTGGGCTGGGGATATAGGTCATTGATTTGACACTTGTATAGTATGTGAGGTCCCGGGTTCAAATCCCAGTACTGGTGGAGAGTACTAGGGAGAACAAAGTTGAGGAGGGAGGAATGGGACTAAAAGTCTCAACCTTTATGGACATGTGCCACCAGGCCCCCAAATCCTCCCATTAAAGACAAGCTAAAAATCAGGAATGGTGATACAGTTCATTGATGTAGCACATATCTAGTTTGTGAGGCCCTGAGTTCAAATCCCAACGGGTTGGGTGAGGAAGGGATAAGATTTTATGTGAATTCTTCCCATCTGAAATGTTCACTGCAGTGCATTTTGTAAATGTTTAAACCAATTTCAAACAAAAAAGAAATGTTCTTAAAAGTATGGCCGCTCAATAAATGCTGACAGGGGTAAGGTACGGCTGACAGGAGGAATTTGGTGGGGATTAAAGGATAGACGGCTGGAGACCCAGCTTGGGTAAAGGTCTGCGCCTAACATCAACACTGAGGGCCCCGTTAGCTCTTTCAAAACCCTGCAGTTCGCTCTGGCCTTGACCCTGACCCAGCAGGCACCAGGGTAAGCAGAGCTCGGACCTGTTCAATGTAACAAGTTGGCACTATACAACAGCACTCTAGAGACAGAGGCAAAGCCTCTGGGAGTTCAACCTGGTCGACACAGAGTTTCTGGCCAGCCAGGGATAGATACATAGTAAAACCCTGTCTTTACAAAAACAAAAACCAACAACAACGAAAACGGACGAAGTAGAGAATTGCGGCCGTGGAGCCAAGGAGACCTCTCCGAGGAGGTGACATTGAAGTGACAGAGGTGGGAGTGGAACCAGCCCAGTGTTTCTGAGGAACCAGAAGACGGTGGAAGAGGACGTGTGTGGGGGCAGGTGAGACAGGAAGGCAGGCTTGGAATTGAATTCCGAATGTCACCACCAGCCTGGGTGGGGTCAAGCAAGGAGTACTTAAACTTGCTTACGGTGTAGCTACGTGATGAGAACGTGAGGTCCACTAAACTCATCTATTTCTTCCCTTATGTTTTCGGCATTTCCCACTAAGAATTTTCTTAAAAAGTTCTGGTTGTCGTCAATAAAATGCGCGTCACCATTGCCGAAAACAGATCGCCATCATGATAGCAAGGGCATCTGAGGGCCCACGGTCCCACCATCCCGTCGCGCGTGCCTCAGTCGTGGCCCGTGTCCCGAACCTGCGTCGATTCAGTCTTCAGCATGGTGGCTAGGGAAGCTGGGAACGGGACTCCAACCAGGGACCAGTCCCGCCACCCCACGCGTCCCGAACCCGAGCTGACCCGTTTGCCTTCCAGCGGTTCAACCCCACCCGCTCACATTTCTGAGGAACTCGGGCCTGCTCCGGCTCCGCCCCCGCCTGCGTGCCAGGGCTCCGATTGGCCAGGCGGCCCTCGAGAGGGCGTGACCAAGGAGTTGGACCGCGGAGACGTGGGTGGCGCCGGGCTTGGCTAGCCGGAGCGGTGACCCTAAGCGGACCTGCTGTGCTGGGTGCGCGGATCTCCGCGGGAGGTAAGCGTGCTACCGCACCGGGAAGCGCTCCCCTCCCGCCCGCAGGGGGGCAGGTCGAGGTGGCCGCGGGGATCGACGTCCCGGGACTCCAATGGAGCAGAGGGTGCTCGCTGCTTGCTGACTTGTGGGGGCTCCTTGGAAAGCGGTTGACAACCGGGACTCGAGGGCCACGGAGTCCCCAAGCTGTGCGCGAGCTCTGAGCCGGGGGAGGGTCCTCCACAGAATCTCTGCCCGCACCTTGTCCTACCGGGAGTCATTACTTGGCCCGAGACGCCTTGGGGTGGGAAGGACGGTTCTCACTGGCCTCTGATTTGGCATCCTGAAGAGTTTGAGTTGGCGACTCTTCAAACAGGAAGTTACTGTGGTGGGACAGGGCCAGGACTTTCTTAGGGAACACCTGAAGTGCTGAAGCCCCGTCGCCAGGCCTCAAGGTAGGAGGGGGGGAAAAGGCAGTTCCGAGTCACTCTAGAACGGGTGCCCACGCCTAGAGGGCGCAGGCCTTGGAATTTGAACAGAGTTGGTATCAGATTCCACGGGGCTAGAGCCCACGGAGGAGGGACGATCAGTGCTGGGGTCAAGATCCCAGTGGTTTATGGACGCTGAAGCGCCTCACTTACTGTGCGTCCTGCCCACGTCAGCCCTCAGAACTGCCTACACTGACCAGGCCAATTGCCTGAGCACTGGAACCTGGCCAACCCTGCCGCGCCAAGGGAGGAGGGCTTTGGCTTTGTGACCTGCGGGGTGGGACAGGCCACCCAGTGTGTCTGTAGTGAGAGAAGACACGAAGGTTGGGCAGTAGAAAAGACTACACACCTGGAGTTTAAGAACTTCTGATTCTGGGTGTGTTGGGGGGGGGGGTGTTTATTTTGTTTAATGTGGAAGAGCATGCCTTTCAGGACTAATTCTCTCCTGTGAGTTCCTGGGATGGGATTCAGTCAGTCTTGGCTACAAACACCCTTACCCTCCGAGCGGTTATTTTTGTCCAGCTAGGTTTTGATTTGTTTTTTGAGATAAGATCTCTCCGTATAGCCCAGAATGACTTAGAACGCTATCCTCCTGCCTCATCTTCTCAAGTGCTGAATTACAGGTGTGCACCCCCAGCCAAAGTTTTTCTTCTTTGCCTCAGAGCTTATTTGGAAACTTGGCCACTCGCCGAGGTTCTAGGGAGGTGGCTGTGAAGCGGCTTGGTGCTTCCTCCAGGTGCGTGTTTGTGGGGACTGAGTTAGATCAGCCATGCTCTCTGTGCTTAACGTTGTCCCTAAGTAGCAGCAGGTGCTGAGAAACTGGCACCTAAGGGTTCGTTTTACTTATTCTTTTTTCCTGGAGGAGGATTCCAGAAAAACCTCAGTGACTCACTACCCTTGCAATAACACTGACCTGTGGGCCGGCAAGATGACCCTACCTGCCCCTGTGATCTGACCTCTTACCCCTCCCTGTGCCTCCCTCCTTCCAGGACCCAGACCTCTCTTAGCGGCTGTACTACAGCAGGCAACGGGACCCTGATGGCTATGGTCGGGACAGATGTGATTGTCAGTATCCATGAGTGCATCATACACGGGTCAAGGGTCAAAAAACCTGTTCTACAAGGGACCAGAGCGTAAATAAATTTTAGATCGTGTTAGCCTGAATGTATTTCACTAAGGTCGCATTTAGGAAGGCTGGCAGTGGGCCAGATTGGGTCCTGGTTGTAGATCACATTTCCTCCTTGGCTATCATCACTCACGTGTTTCTTAGTGATGGGCATCTGGGTTGCTTCTGCCTCTTGGCTTTCGTGGACACACACACACACACACAAGAATATAGATATTCCATCCAGTCCCTTTGGAGATAGAACCATAGTGGGGAATGTGGGTGAATGATAATTCTGTTTTTAATGGGGGGGGGTCTATCAAGTGGTCCTCCTGTTGGTCCATTTATCCATCGTGTGAGGAGACCCTGTTTTGTTTTGTTTAAAGATTTATTTTTATTTTTATTCATGTGTGTGTGACTGAATGCCAAATGTGTGTGAATGCCTCGGAGGCCAGAAGAGTGTGTCAGATCCCTGGAGCTGCAGTTACAGGCAGTTGTGAGCCAGGCACCCACTGTGATTACTAGGATACAAATTGTGTTCTCAGGAAGAGCAGTAAGTGCTCTTAACTGCTGAGCCATCACTCCAGCCCAAAACCCTGTGTCTTATTAGTCCCTCTGCTCCTAAGTGTTCCAGTTGTCTCTGCTACCCAGAAGCCACAGCACTGTTGCGTCTACTGCCCCTGGGCCGTTCTGGCCTCTCCACAGTGAGATGTTATCCACATTGATCCTCAGCGCAGTGCCTGGTGGCCGTGGAGGTAGCATGCTGGCACATTAAGGGACACGGTGTAGGTTTGTCAGCTCGTCCCTCAGCCAAGAACTGGTGATCAGGTGGCAGAATGACTTGGGGTTGCAAAGTTTGTTGCCAAGATCAGCAAACTAAAAATAGTCATTACATCAGGTGGTGTGGGCAGCTGTGTGTGTGTGTGTGTGTGTGTGTGTGTGTGTGTGTGTGTGTCACACATGCAGCTTGGGGACTGGCTGTGTGTGTCTCAGCAGACCTTTGCATGTGGTAAGAGTTCAAATCATTCCTGCTTCCTCCCAGCAAGTAAGACCTGGGTTTCACAGGGAGGTCCATACATGTGGCACAGTTTTAAGAATTGTTGAGGGAGCCATTATCAAGAAAAGGCTACCATTCTGCTGGAGCTAAGGAGTGGGTAGAGACAACAGAAGGTTATGTGCAGTCACTAGACAGGAAAAAACCGGGGGTTTTGATGTTTTGGGGTGTGTGCGTGTCTGTTTTAAGGAGGAAGATCGATATCTGACTGGTGTCTCCTCAATTGCTGTCTACTTTGGTTTTCTAATAATTTGTTTTACTTTTAATTATAGGTGTAGGTATCTTAGTTAGGGTGTCTATTGCTGTGACAAAACGCTGTGACCAGAAGGAAAGTGAGGAGGAAAGGGTTCATTTGGCTTCCACTTCCACTGCACAGTTCATCATTGAGGGAAGCCAAGGCAGGAACTCAAACAGGGCAGGAACCTGGATGCAGGAGCTGATGCAGAGACCATGGAAGGGTGTTGCTTACTGGCTTGCTTGACTGGCTTGCACAGCCTCCTTTCTTTTAGAACCCAGGACCACCAGCGAAGGGGTGTCACCACCCACAATGAGCTGGACCCTCCCACATCAATCACTAAGAAAATGCCACCTGGTGCACGCCTTTAATCCCAGCACTTGGGAGGCAGAGGCAGAGATAAAGTTGCCCTGGGCTTAGATCATACCCAGCACATTGCCCCCAAGATGGCCATGGCAACCTTAGGCCACCCAGAACAGTTAGAAACTTTGGGGGCAAATGAGAGATCACAGAGTCTGTGACCGGTTTGTATCCCTTTCATATTGTCCGACACACAGTGTTTAGCACGTGGACCCCCATTCTTCTGATCACGACTGTCCCAGATCAGCGGATGGGAGTTGGAGGCTCACTATTCCAGCTTCTGTGCTCCTGATGTATGCCTGAGGTGTGCTCTACTTCCAAGGCTCCTCGGACCACTGAGTCTCTTACTTCTTGCAGTTAGTCAGCTCCTCATGGCTGTCTTCCCACTACCATCTACCTTCCAAATACCTCCTGCAGGAGGGTCCCCTTCACCCACCCCAGCCCCAGTCATTTCTTCCACTCCTTGTATCAGGTCGGCCTCTGGAGCATTCAGTTTCCATGGCCGGGTGGCTGGGTAAGCTTGTGAGGTACAGTGGGATAATAGGTTTGTCTGGTTTGGTGGGTGGGTGAGGTGGTGTGGAGGGCATGAGCAGTGTGGTTCTGACTTCACGGACAAGCTGATCGCTCCCTGTCTGCCTCCTACAGCCTAGCTACTGAGAAGATGGTGGACCACTTGGCAAACACAGAGATCAACAGCCAGCGGATCGCAGCGGTGGAGAGCTGTTTCGGGGCGTCGGGGCAGCCGCTGGCCCTTCCGGGCCGTGTGCTCCTGGGCGAGGGGGTGCTGACCAAGGAGTGCCGCAAGAAGGCCAAGCCACGCATCTTCTTCCTCTTCAATGACATCCTGGTGTACGGCAGTATCGTGCTTAGCAAACGCAAGTACCGCAGCCAGCATATTATCCCCCTGGAAGAGGTAACATTGGAGACCCTGCCAGAGACCCTGCAGGCCAAGAACCGCTGGATGATCAAGACAGCCAAGAAGTCCTTTGTGGTGTCGGCGGCCTCCACCACGGAGCGCCAGGAGTGGATCAGCCACATCGAAGAGTGTGTACGGAGGCAGCTGTTGGCCACGGGCCGCCAGCCCACCACTGAGCACGCAGCGCCATGGATCCCTGACAAGGCCACGGACATCTGCATGCGTTGCACACAGACACGCTTCTCGGCACTCACCCGGCGTCACCACTGCCGCAAATGTGGGTTTGTGGTCTGTGCTGAGTGTTCCAAGGAGCGTTTCCTGCTGCCGCGTCTCTCCCCCAAACCCCTCCGTGTCTGCAGCCTCTGCTACCGAGAGCTAGCTGCGCAGAAGCGGAGCGAGGAGGCCAAGGAGAGGTACGGGGACTCTCCTGGACAGCCAACCCATCTAGGCGGCGCCGTCTGTGGGGCGTCCAGTGGTGATGACGATGACTCCGATGAGGACAGAGAAGGTGACTGGCCCAGCCAGGTGGAGTTCTACGCTTCTGGTGTCTCCTGGTCAGCCTTCCACAGTTGACCCTCACCTTCAGAGTTTCTGCATCAAGCCAGTCCACTGCCCAGGGCTCCAAGTGTGCAGGTCCTGAACTCTGACTTTTGCTGGGACCCCTGCCCATGGTAGTGGGCCTGTGACAGGTGGCTGTTCCGGAGCCATTACCAGTGCCTTTCTGCTAGACAGCAACCTCCTACCCTCTTCTACTTCTGGTCAGATAATGGTCTTTCCACTTCACAAGGCCCAGAACATGGAGCCCTTGGTGACCAGGCTACAACTACAGCCCTTAGGGTTAGACCAGGCCAGGTGTCCCAAGCATTAAAAGACCAGGGTTGAAGAGAGCAAAGGGAAGACCAAACCAGAGCTGGCGTCCACTCCACTCTGAAGCTTGAGCTTCAGACCCCGTTCCCACCTCTGCCCCTTAACACGCTCAGCCATGCCAGAGCAGGAAGCCTGTCCACTTTCCACCATGCGGATAGCACCACCTGGCCACCTGGTCCTGCCAAGCTGGACCCCAGATGCACTGTGTGTGCCCCTTGAGCTCCCCCAACCCAGGGCCACCCATCAAGTCTCATCTGGTGCCTGCTTGTCCTGCCCCATCTCTATCTGCAGTCAGTAGAAGTGATGTCTTTCCTTAGGACTCTGGTTTCAAGGGCATAAACCCTATCCAGACTGACTCACCAATAAAAAAAAGAAAAAGAAAAAAAAAGGCAAACAAACAAATCTTGATTGCTAATTCTAAGAGTTCCCTAGCTTCAGACACTGCTCAACCGAGGGACTAGGGACAACCATCACTGATACTGCCACTCTGGGCATCCCTGGAAATGCCTCCTACCCAGTGAGACATTCATGCCACACTGTGTCTAGCTGCCCAAGAACAAAGCCCCATTCTGTTATTCTGATAGCCTGCCTGCCTGCCTGCCTTCCTTTTCTTTTGAGACAGGGACTTGCTATGTAGGGCTGATTCAAACTTGAGATCCTTTGGCCTCAGCCTCCCCGGTGCTGGGATTACCAGCATGTACCACTCCACCTGGTTTATTGGTGTGAGCTACCTAATGGGTGGTAAAGGAAACTAGGTATTTGTCTGGCTCAGCCTGATCCTTCTGGAATGAAAAGACTCGCCTGTGTAGTCTCTGGCTCAGCCCTGGCAGACGATACCTATGATTTGGAGAGCGAGCCGCTAGCTTTCTGTGTAGACGAGAGAGCTTCACAGGGCCCTTCGGAAGCTATCTTTAAAGCTCTGCATGGCAATTCATGCCTGTGATTCCAGGGCTCAGAGAGCCAGGATTGTGAGTCTGAGGCCAGCCCCAGCTACCTAAAAACCCTGTCTTGAGAAACCATGCTTTCCCCGACTACTTATGACTTAGTGCCTGACTGTCCTTGAATGGAGTCCCTGTGTGTAGAGTGTGCTCACTGTCAGCTGTATGTGGGACTTTGGAGCTAAGAAAGCTTCCTCCAACTCTCGTACAGTGAATCCCTATTATCAGCATTCTCCCTTCCACCCAGTACAATATTGTCTTTGTCCATGTTCTGATTCTGTAGGTTAGGTTCAGATTCCAAAGCCTGCAGTTGACAGATGTGGTCACTCTTCAAAGAGTGCTGGAGGGGTAGACTATGGAGCACCGAGGAGCTGCCTGTGACCCCTCCTGTCCTGGCAGTGACAGCTGGGAAGGACTGGAAATGTGTTTGTTTGCAGTGACAGGCTGGGAAGGACTGGGGATGTGTTTGTTTGCAGTGACAGGCTGGGAAGGACTGGGGATGTGTTTGTTTGTGGTGACAGGCTGGGAAGGACTGGGGATGTGTTTGTTTGCTGCCCTTTCACTTTGTGGCCTCTGTCAGCCACACAGACTTGGTCAGGCTGCTTCTCCTGTTTGGGCACAGGGCCAGGCAGGTTCCTAGGTGAAGAGCAGCTTCCTGAAGCTAGACCTGGTGTCTTCTCGGAAGTCCAGACAAGGCAGCCCCATCCCTTCCACCCGTGGCTGGTGACTCACAAACCTCACTCCCTTGGAACCTTGCTTTCCTGGAAAATCAGCAGTTCCCGTAGACACACAGAACTGCCTGCTGAGCCTGGACATAGCCGCTGTCCTCAGCCACCTGACGGACGAGCATGGTGGTGGGAACTGGGTGGTTGAGGCAGGCTGTGGAGGGCCGTGTGGCACTGTGGAAAGCAGAGAAAAGAGCTGGTTCGTCCCTCAGGCCAGCTCCCTCTCCCATAGACCTAGGACGGGGATGTTACTTTCCTAAGCCCCCAAATGTTGGAGTCCACAAGGGCCCCAGGTGGTCAGCACTCTTGGGAAGGTCTTCATTGATGCTAAGCTGCTGAGACTTGCCGTGTTGCCTGCCAGATGCTGGGGACACTGCTGTGAATAAGATGGATTTGGCTCGCACTTGAGAGGGGAGACTAGAGGTTGGCACTAGGTATTCAGGGACACACTCTGGGTGAAGAGAATGAGCCAGCCAATAGCGAGACAGCACTCGAGTTATTGGCAATGACTAGGGTCAAGACCCTGAAGAGGGAGGGGTCCATGTGTCCTGGAGAAACATGATGGGGTCAAGACAAACGATAAGAGATCCCCCACGCAGGACCACAGAGACTTCCACAGGCAGCAGTCTGTGCTCTGATGGCTTTGCAGTGTGACTTGTCCGCAGATGGCTAGAAAGTGTGGCCAGAAGCCAGCCTGGGGATATCCAAAAGAGGGTAATCTATCAAAAGTCCGTCCTCTCTGCTCTTTCTGCTGTTGGTGGTGGTACACTTTCATGTCCTCCCTTCTGCCCAATTCTTCTACTGAGATACTGAGGGAGCTCCCAACAGCCAAATGACTGCTGGGACTCTTGTGTGAGACCAAGTGACACCCAATATCCCCCACTGCTGAAGCGTAGAGGGGAACAAACTACAGGAATGAAATCCTCGAAATAAGATGTGTAAGGAAACAATATGCCGAGCCTGTGTGGAAGAGGAGACCTGTGCCCTGGTCGCTATAGCCGTCATTGTACAGGCTCCTCAGCAAACAAAACATCTGGGGGTGACCCTGTTCAATCTGGGTGGTCAGCATATACTTGGGTACCATGATTATCCTAGCGATAGTCACAACAGCCGATATGGAGCTAGCCTGGGTGTCCATCAGCACATGAACAGATAAAGACAATGTCATGTACACTGGAGATCTATCCAGACACCAAGGAGAAGGACATTGTGTCATTTTCAGAGAAATGGGTGGAACTGGAGATTGCCATGTGGAACCAAACAAGCCAGACTCAAAGATTGCATGTTTTCTCTCACAGGCGGCGTCTTAATTTTTTTAAGGAAAAGATATGAATGTAGAAGGTACTATTTAAGAAGAGAGGGGGGGTGAATATGATCAAAGTGTTTAATAAGGATGTGTAAATGTAACAAAACAAAAGAAAAAAAAAAGCTAGCATGTGCCCATAGAACAGAGCCTGGGAAGTGAAGGAACCGTGGGGGAGATCGTCCTCAGTCCCTTACTGAGGCACCGTGGTCAGCCAGGCTGGGATCCAGGCTTGCAAGCATGCTATTGAAGCTGTTCTCAGCTAAGGTGCTGAATCAAGGCTATACTGCTGACCTTTGCCCCTGGCCGCCGGCCTACCCAGGAATTCAGGGGTTCTCAGAATGGATTTAAGCACCTCAGCTCTTTGCCAGTGTCTTATTTACCCAGTACTGAACTGAAGGCCAACAGGATTTGAGAGCTATGTCTGATGGGTTGGGGCCAGGCTTCACTCTCTTGCCCGTGGCTCTGTTCACAAGGCCTGGCAAGGGCTCAGGAACCCACTGTCCTGCCAGCTGAGTCTCCCTGGAATGTGTCCTCCCAGCTGTGTGAATACTGTCCCTGCCAGGAACATGTGATCCTCTGGCAGCATTTGGTCCTTGGGAGGGGGTCTGCCTTGCTCTTCCTGGAAATCAAGAGAGAGAGAGAGACAAGGGAGCTCTGAGGCCAGGACCTTGCAGTGTGGGAACTTGCGCCTCAGCATTGTCTGAGGCAGCTGTGCAGAGTCCAGCCCGATGGAGTTCTGAGGCAGGCGGCAGGTTGCAGCTGGGGCCCAGTGCATCAGAAACAGGCTGCTCTTGCAGTTCAATGGGGTCCAATCTTTGCACAGGATTCAGATACCAGGAGAGGTCGTGCAAGGGACATGGTTAGGGATCCTAGCCTGCGCACTGGCCATGGGACTTCTAGGTGGCACATTTTCTCAAAGGAGAACTTTGCCACTTACAGAGAACTAATGACATCCAAGTGCAGTCTGCCCAGCTGGGGAGGAAGGCAGGGGATCCCGGGCCCCCAGGAATGTTGTCCCTGTGATGAGGGTGAATGCTGGTGCCTGCTTACTAAGGTCTATCTGTGCTTGATGCCGAGACAAAGGGAGGTCACACAAAGTCTTCTTGAGGCTCAAAGAAGATGGCCTAAAAGGCTTCCTGGGAAAGGAGGCATTTGTTGGCACCTCAGAATGAGGGGCCTCAGCAGGCTTTCTCTTGGTATCCCTGAGGACTGGGTTACCGATTCTTAGCTATTCTGTTAAATTTTCTTTTTAAAATTTCTTTAAATTAAATAACATGGTTGGGCATAGTGGCATATACCTTTAATCCAAGCACTTGGGAAACAGAGGTAGGTGGATCTCTGAGTTCAAGGCCAGCCTGGTCTATAGAACAAATTCTAAGACAGTCAGCCAGGGCTACTCGGAGAAACCCTGTGTACTGGGTGGTTTTGTGTGTCACCTTGACACGAGTTAGAGTCATCAGAGAGGAAGGAGCCTCAGCCGAGGAAATGCCTCGACGAGATCCGGCTCTAAAGGCATTTTCTCCGTCAGGGCAGGAGGCCCAGCCCATGGTGAGTGGTGCCATCCCTGGGCTGCTGGGCCTGGGTTCTGTAAGAAAGCAGCCTTAGCAAACCATGGGAAGCAAGCCAGTAAGCAGCTCCCTTCCATGGCCTCCGCATCAGGTTCCTGCCTTGTTTGAGTTCCTGTCCTGACTTCCTTCCCTGGTGAACAGCAAAGTGGAAGTATAAGCCAAATTAACGCTTCCCTCCCCAGCTTGCTTTTTGGTCGTGGTGTTTCGTTGCAGCAATAGAAACCCTAAATAGGACACCCTGTCCCGAAGAGAATTTTAAAAGGTAAACAGTATTGCGTTTGTTTGTGTAGGCGTGGGTGGCATGTACCATATGGAGGTCAGAGGACAGCTTGCAGAAGTCAGTTCTTTCCCTCTGCTATGTAGGCACCAGCAGACTTTTGTGAGACTTAATCAGATAATGATTTTCCATATGACAGCAAAAACAAAAATAGACAGGGGGCTACAGTCAACTGAAGAGACTCGAAAGATTGGACAGTCTGGCAGCAGAAAGAAAAAAACAAACAGAAAGGAGTTGAGACAGGATCTCACTTTAGCCTTAGCTGGCTTGAGATTTACTATGTAGACCAGGCTGGCATTGAACTCACAGAGACCCGCCTGCCTTTGCCCCCTGAGTCATGGGGTGGCACTGCCAGTTTGTGAGTTTAAGGCCAGCCTGGGCTGCATAGTGAGATTCTGCCTCCGATAAACAAACAACAAAAGAAAATTCAAGCGAGTTGTAAAATTGGGCAAATAGGCACTTTTCAAAAGAAGTGGTGAAATATATATTATACATTTTTATTTATACATTTTTCCTATATACATTAATATTAAGCGTTTATAATCATATTGATTATATATAATTAATATATATTAATACTTAGTATGATTAGCCATCAAGGATATATATATAATCATTGTCCTGTCATTTCACCCCAATTAGGATATTTACTATTTAAAAAAGTAAAAAACCCTGCTGTAAGGCTGTGGGTAAAAGGACCCACCCGCAACGTTGGCAGGGCAAGTAGACTAGACCAGCCATCCTATAACAGTGTGAGCAGGCCCTCAACTGAATGGAAGAGCCAACACTTGAGCGAGCTCTCCCACCTGGTATCGAAGAAAATGATACCAGAAAGGTGCCCACACACCATGGATGGGCTTGACCCCAAGGTTCCAATAACTAATTGACGCACAGGGTTCCAGAAGCAGGGCAAGTTCTTCCGGACAACCACTATGAGGTGCCCTCAGGCTGGGGCTCGAAGTGTCCACCATACTCTAGAAGTTTCTGTAAAGATTGCATCTGTCCCGCTGATTGGCTGAGGCTTTGCAATCTAAGTGGACACCTGACTGCCACTCTGGCCTCTCCCTTGCCTCTCAGTCCTGCTGGAGGAATTCGGATCACCCACTGGGACTGGGACCCTATAAGCATGATTCAAAGGCTGACCCGGTTCTCATGTCAGAACCTGAAGTCTTGGGACAGATACAAAACAAGGCCAGCCACTTCCTCTTGACCTGCTTGTTCCTGAGGCCTCCAGGATGTGACCTACCCAGACAGGGGCTGTGGGGAGAGGCAGGACTGTTGCTGGGTGTGGGGAACATTTCATAAGGTAAGATCATCGAGTTCTGGCTACCCCCAAGCTTAAGCCTCAGCCCTTGCCACTGTCTGCAGAGGCTCCCACTTGTGAAAGCCCACATCCTCCTTGTATATGCTCTGCCTCCATCCAAGCAGTGTCGCTCAGAACTGTGTTCAGAGGGCAAAAGAAGAGGGCTGGAGCGGAGCCAGTCTGCCAGTCTGCCTCGGCTTCCCAGAGCTGCTTTCTGGCTGCCCACCACTCCCCTCCTCGGGCCAGAATGTTCAGCCTTCCAGCATAGACACCACCTCCACTCTGCAGCCTGGATAATGGGCATGTCTGTCTATGTTCCCCTGCGCTGGCTTCCCCACCTTTCCACAAAGTATCCCATTTGGTACCCTTTGAAGGCATCAGTACTTCCGCTAGCTTCTGGGGCATTATGGGAAAATGTGGTGCTTTCAATGAGAATGGGCCCCATAGGCATATATATTTGATTTGATTTGACTTTTCTTTTTAAAGACAGGGTTTCCTCTGTGTAGCCTTGGCTGTGCTGGAACTCGCTCTGTAGACCAGGCTGGCCTCAGACTCAGAGATCCGTCTGCCTCTGCCTCTGCCCCTGCCTCTGCCCCTGCCTCTGCCTCTGCCTCTGCCTCTGCCCCTGCCCCTGCCCCTGCCTCTGCCTCTGGAGTGCTGGGGTTGAAGGTGTGCACCACTGCTTCACAGCACAGGGCTCATATATTCTGAATGCTTTAGTCACCAGAGTGGAACTTGTATGGGAAAGATTAGGAGGTGTGGCCTTGTTGGAGGAGGTGTCACTAGGGGTGGGCTTTGAGGTTTCAAAAGCCCATGCCACCAGACCCAGCCCACCCCCTTTCTCACCCCAACCCTCCTGCCACCGAACTCTGAAACTATAAAGAAGCCCCCAATTAAATGTTTTTCTCTTATAAGTTGCCTTCGTCATGGTGTCTCCTCACAGCCACAGAAGAGTAACCAAGACAGCTCTCAAACTCGGACCTCATCCCCACCTACTGGTCCTGCCTCTGTCAACACCTGCAGTGGGCAATCTAGTCAGACACTCCTGCATCTCCCAGCTCCGCCCTTGTTTCTGCCTCTTCCCTCACCCTTCCAATCTGCGGATGCCCTGGGGGCCCAGGACCTTGTGGCTACCCCAGTACGTGGGGAAATACGCATAGGAGTGGGGTCTGTACATTGCAGTGCCCAAGGAGCTCCCTTTGAGCCGAGTGGGAGTCCTTCCAGTGAGAACGCAGGGGTGAACGTGGCCCAGGCTGTGGAGGTGGAGTCCGATCCTAGAGGAGAGGAATTCTGTACACAGATACTTCTCACATTCTCTCTCTTCTCCAGCTCCGCCCTCCGGACTCACCAGTCTGTTTCCCTCCTGCTCTCAGACATATGACTCCCTTGGTTCATCACGGACGTAAAGACTGGACGGATGGGTGCAAGGAGATCTTCAGTTGTGGAGGCTGAACTTAGGGCCTCGGGCATGCTAGTCAAGTGTTCTCTCACTAACCCCTGGGCCCTCACTGGAGGATTCTAGGCAAGTGTTCTGCCACTGACAGACACATGGACCCTGCCCATCGTTGGTGGACTCTAGGCAAGTGGTCTATGGCTAAGCCATGTCCCCAGCTCCTTGCTGTTAGATTCTAGGCAAGGTCCTTCACCAAGTCATGTCACCAGTCCCTTGAGAGTGGATCCAATGCAAGCTGTACTGCAGAGTCATGCTGCCAAACCTTCACCACTGGACTCTCAGGTTCTCCCACTGAATGGCACCCTCCGTCACTCACTGAGTAGATTCTAGGCAGGACCTCTGTCAGAGCCCCCCACCCCAACATACACACACGCACACACACACACGCGCGCGCACACACACACACACACACACACACACACACACACACACACACACCCTCTCCAGGCAGCTCTTGCCCAGGAAAAGAATGAAACCACCTATGACCTCCAGGCTTCCTCTCACCCTTCTTCATCTTCAGGGTTAGGAAACCAAGGCCTAGGGACTCAACCCCCACTTGACACTTCGGATCAAGACAGGATAGACTGAGACCAGGGCTGCCTTCTGTCTTCACAAGCCCCTCTTTTCTCCTGCTGTCTCCCAGTCCAGCCTCCTAGACCAACATAAAGGCAGCACAGGGATGGGGGTGGGGGGTGGCAGGGGCGGACCACAGAGTCAGAGAGTTCTGGGCAAAAACAAGTGGAAATTTCAGTCACTGGAGCTCCGTGGAGATTCTGGAAGATGTCTGATTCCAGTGAGCAGGTCTTCCAGAGTCCCCTTCATGCACAAAGTGGCTTCAAGCTGGCAGGGAGTGAACCTGGCACCTGAACCAGTCACCCACCATGCAGGAGTCTGCCAAGGGTGACATTCCCTCTGTATGGTCATGCTTACCGTAGCTCCCAGCTGTCCACAGTAATACCATGGAAACTTCATGAAGTTTGGAAATCATCGAAATCCTGAATACACCCAATGGCTGTTCCTGGGTTCCAAATAGCACCAAAGCCTTCTGGGGGTTCCCACTCCTATCCCCAAGGAGCAGAGCCTTTGACCTTTTTCAGCTCTGAGCCAATCGTCCTCTTGCTGGCCTGAGGGAGCTCCTGAATGTCTCCTGGAGTCAGTCCAGTGAAAGAATGAGAAACAGAGCCTCATAGCAGGAGTGATCTTAGGGAAGGCAGCTAGGCAAGTGCCCTGTCCTATACGGCCTTGTCGTCCCAGGGGGCTGAAGGGCACAGGGTACAGGGTACACAAGAGGAGCAAGTGTGAGGCCCCCTCTCACTCATTTCTACACTCTTAACTAGAAACATTCCCTGCCCACAGCCCCTGCCCAGCTGCTGGGAGTGAGAGTGTGCAACAGGGTGGAGGCTCCCGTGAACGTCAGTCCTCTTCAGAAGATCACTCCTCCCTCCCTGAGCCTTTCAGTTTGGCATGGATGACCTCATCCACGTCCTGGCTCTAGAAATAGCCTTCTGACTTAAGTCTTGACAACCAGAACAGTCCTCGGTCTGTAAGGGCCAACCTCGCCTCTCCTACCTGTGTCAGGGAGCCGTGATCCTGAGGCCATGTCATCAGGTGTCACCGTGATTCTTGGGAGAGTCGTGGAAAACAAGTGAGTTAGGGTCTCAGGGTCTAGATTCACCTCTCTGTCTCTGTCTGTCTCTCTGTCTCTTTCTCTCTCTCTCTCTCTCTCTGTCTCTCTCTCCCTCTTTTTCTCTCCCTCTCCTGCGTATGGGTGTTTGTACCATTTGCTTGCCTGGCTCCCGTGGAAGCCAGAAACAGATTTTGAATCCCCGGAAACTGGATTGACAGCTGACTGTGAGCTACCATGTGGTTTCTGGGATTTGAACCTGAGACCTCTGGAAGATCATCTAGTGCTCTTAACCACTGAGCCATCTCTCCAGCCCTGTGCAGAGTTCTGTTGAGAAAGAAATCAACAATGAACAGCTCAAGGCAGAAAGACGGTAACAGGGTGTCCAAACCACAATGGACACAGAGAGCCCTTTATTCTAGTCACAAACAAGCCAGGCTGTTTGCCTCCCAAGCCATTTTCCATGAGTCACAGCCCAGGAAGAAACACAATTCAGATACAAACTGACTAGGGGTATAAAGGCCTTCTAGTCCTCTTCAACATAGAAAAATATTGATGCAGGAAGACCTTTGGGCAGACCCACTGTGGCACAGCAGCCTGAACCTTCCTGTCAGTCAGAGCCTGAGCCCCCCTGTCAGTCACAGAGCCTGAGCCCCCCTGTCAGTCACAGAGCCTGAGCCCTCCTGTCAGTCACAGAGCCTGAGCCTTCCTGTCAGTCAGAGTCTGAGCCCTCCTGTCAGCCACAGAGCCTGAGCCCCCCTGTCAGTCACAGAGCCTGAGCTCTCCTGTCAGTCTGGGCACACCTGTACTGTGTACGCTGATTCCACAGAGGTGGAGCAGGAGGGGGAAATCTGTGTCTCCAGAGAAGTCCTAGGAAGAACTAGCAGGAAGCCCGATACAAAACAGAAGATGGTCAGTCCATCCCACTGTTCCCCTTTCTCCCCACTTCCTCCATCTTTCCTTTTTCCTTAAAAGTTTGTTCCTTTATTTTTTGGTGTTTCTAGGCATTGAGCCTAGGCCTGTGCCTATACTAGAGCATAGAGCAGCTCTTTACCACTGAGCCATGCCCCAGCCTCCTTCTTTTGTGCATGCAGAGAGAGAGAGAGAGAGAGAGAGAGAGAGAGAGAGAGAGAGAGAGAGAGAGAGAGAGAGACTGACTGGGTCTGACTCAATAGCCCAGGCTGGCCTGGTCCTTGGTGGGCTTGGAGTTGTTATTCTGTTTGCGGTGCTGGAGACGGAACCCAGCGTCTTACACATGTAAGGGAAGTGAGCATGGTACCACTCGGCTAACTCCCCAGCCTTCTTTCTACCTTATTTTAAGACAGGGCTCAGTAAGTCCCCGGATAGCAATGAACTCACTCTGTAGTCCAGGCAAGCTTCAAACTTGTGATCTCTTGTCTCCACCTCCTGAGGAACCGAGATTCCAAGTCTGAACAACTCCATTTAATTTCCCCCCTCCCCCATTTTCTCTTTTAACTGCTATATAACATCCCTCTAGTGAAGCACATACATTTTCTTAATGATTTTTTTTATTGTTTTTAATGATGAGGTAAGGAGCATATACACATGAGTGAAATTGCTTCAGAAGCCGGATGAGGACATCAGATCCCCTGAGTTGGAGTTCTGAGCTGCCTGACATGGGTGCTGGGAACTGAACCCAGGTCCTCTAGAGCTGTATGTTCTCTCTCTCTCTCTCTCTCTCTCTCTCTCTCTCTCTCTCTCTCTCTCTGT